ACAAGAAATGAGACCAGTTACCAGCCTAGCAATAACAAACATGATTTGACAAATGTATTTGAAACTAAATGCGTGTGTGAGTATTTTGGGTTATAAATGTTTTTTCATTTATAAAATTATTTATGAAAATGAGTGATGTTTTGAGTTATAAATGTCTTTTCATTTATAAAGTTATTTGTGATCATGAGATCGATTTTTTTAAGGATTATGTGAAAAGGGGTTGGGGATACAATTTGTTGTACTTATATGTATCAAAATTTATTTTTGTATATAAACTGTGGGATTTATTTTCACACCTTATTAGAGGTGGTAGCTATGCACGGGTCATTGTGCTCATCCAAACATTTAACATTTTTCAAGTGAAGATCAGGGGAGAAGTAGTCCCCGGATAGACAAGAGATTAGAAGAATTGAAAATTTATTTTATTGTGGATCTTCAAGGATAAATGTCTTTTATAGTTTTGATACAAAGATTCAATTGTTTTGAGAAAAATGTTACTTATACTTAAAGTAATGAACCTTATGGTATAATTATTGTTTTACATGAGTTTAGTAATGATATTGATAAAAAAAAAAATAGTAATGATATTGGTGATGTTTAGTTTACTCTTGTGATATTCATTAAGTCGATGGATTGGATCACTTTATTCTTTATCTTCCGTTGTATTTTGCATTTATTATACACAGAGTTGATTGGTCCGCCACCCACCCTATGTGATTCGGGACGAGGGTGTGACACAATGATTTTTAAGATGTGGATTAATTTAAATCGAAGCCACATTAAAGGTGATGTTAAATATTATATTCATTTAAATTTTACACAAACTAATCAGATTTTTGGTATTCTTCTTTTTTATACTGATTGTCGAGAAATTTAACACAAAATAGATCCATTTGATGATAAAATCATTCTCTGCCAAAAATCTCTCTATCTCTCAAGTTTAATTATTAAATTTACTAGATAACAAAAATTGAGTTTCAATTAGAAAATATTTTCTTTCTTTTCAAAGTAAAAACAGGGAAAAAGTGATTCCAAAAATGGAATAAAATTTTTATTCAGTTCCATTATGTCTGATCCAAATTAATGATAAAAAAAAACCTTTATTCTTAAGTGGATTCAAATCTTCCCATTATAGTTTTACTCAATTTGATAACTCACTAGAGTCCCTTAGAAATAATGAATGAACGGAATGAACGTGATTTTAATCCTCCAAAAATGTTCATATCTTAAATAAGAAGTCTTATTTACTTAATATTACAGTTAGAAAGTTGAATTGTCAACTTATAAAAAAAAAAAACAACGGTCATTTTAATCCATTTTTCACCTACTTTTACCGGTTAGTTGAATTCTCAATGTTCAATTTTTTATATTATATAATGTGTTCAGACACATAATTATTACTAATCACTCTATATGGTGTGTCTAATGGAATGGATGGAGGATTGATGGAATGATTTTAGAAATTTGACGACATATTCTTAGGGATCTCTTTGTAATTGGTGATTTAGTTTTATACTTGGGTTGATTTTTTTTTTGCTTCTAAAACTACTTTTAAAGTAATTCTTTATCAATTCAAACTTCTTGAACCATCCCACTAATCAATACAGTTAGGGGTAAACGTATTGTATCGGCCATTCAACAATGTTATTACATATATCATTTTTTTCACACAACTTCAATATAGACTATTAAATTAACGAGTCTCATAACATTTATTAAATATTGAATAATTACAATTGTGTTATGTCGGCTGGTAAAAATAGCTTAGTGCACAAAGGTGGTTGTTAATATAAAGCAATTACATTTTTTTTTTTTCCTTCTTCCTCTATGTAGAGTGATTGTAGGCGAAGAAAATGTAGGTGGAAGTCTGAAACATTCTGGAAAACACGCTGTTTGAAAAAGTAGTGGGAATCAGATTGTACAAGGCATGCCATGCCACGCTTTAAGGTCAGAAGAAGAGAAGTCATATTACTATTGTCTTTATTTCTTTCCTTACTTGCTAAGCAATTAGAGTCAAACAATTAGTATTTGTCCTTGGCTCGGTTTGGCGCACAACTTAAAAATCCATTGGAATTTATATATATCGCACGATTCGCAAGTCCAAAGTCTACGTCGATTTCTCTTTTTTTTTTTTTTTTTTAAACTTGGGTTTTAATTAAAGATAAATTATATTTTCTCTCCATTTGGTTTCAAATAATGACATTATACCTCCTTAAATTTTAGAAATCTACATTCCAGCCCCTAAATTTTGGAATTAAAGTGCAATAACCGATAGAGTTAATAATTAGTAACCCTTCATTTTTAGAATCTTTAGTATTTCCTTTGGAAATTAGATAGATATTGGAAAATCAACTTTTATGCATAGAAATGGAATAAATATAAAGAACAAAAAATATAATATGTATAAAGTCATAAAAGTTGTTTTGATAATTTTATTTCAGGTAAAATATAAGCTTTTGACCTCTGACTTTTATTTTTCACGCAATATCTAATGGAATCAGTTTGGTCTAAACCCACAGGAGTTTATAGGTAGATTTCTAAAGAATAAAGAGGTAACGTATTCCTGAATTAAATCATAGAGAGATAATCTTTAATTATTCTTTTATTTATTAATTAGGAAAAATTACACTCAGGTCCCCTGAATTTTGTCACTTAATCAATTAGACTAATTAACATTCAAAATATTGCACACAAATCCCCTGAAATTTGCACGCACGTAACACATAGACTCTTACAGTTAATGTCTGTTAGTTTATCCGTTAGTAAATTATATTCAGATCTCTAAAATTTGAAAAATGTAATACTTAAACCCTTCAAGTTTAAAATATTACACTAAAACTAAAAACACTTCAATTAAAGATAGAATATCAAATATTTTAAATTTTATAACTAAAATTCATATTCTATTATATCATTTATTGAAATAAAATTAAAAACAAAAATTTAACTTTTTCTTTTAAAAAAATCATAATTAGTATTGTTAATGCCAAAATTTTGATGACCTTCATGTTAGTTTGTTGGACTTTGATCACCAGAAAAAGAAGTTAGAGACCGGAGGGAAGGTCCAGAGGTCGACTCTCTGATGTCCAAGTCAGTAAGTGATTCAAAGGTATGAACTATGTTTAGAAGTTAAGAGTGGCATACCTGGAGCATCTTAGACTAAATGGACTTTTCACCTTAGGTTAATTTTTTCATCATCAAGTACAAACATATAAAATAAGTTTAATCAACACATTTGCATTCTATTATATCATCCATTGACATAAAACTCAAACAAAATCTCAAATTTTTAAGAAAAAAATAGTAATCAGTATAAATATATTAAAACACTCAATTCAACACTCACTTACATACAATTATACTGTCTATTAGAATAAAACTAAATAAGGGGTCAAACTATAAATGGACACAATATATTCTATCTTTAATTAAGGTAATTTGATCGTTTAATAGATTTTGTTAGTTTCATAACTAATAAGAGGTCTAAGTATAATATTTTAAACTTGAGATATTTAAGTGTTATTCGTTTACACGTTTCAAGGGATATAGGTGTAATTTACGAATGGATATAGTAATCAACATTGACAGTAGGGGTCTAAGTGTTACGCACGTATAAATTTTAAACGACTTGTATGTAATATTTCAAATATCAGGGGTTTAAGTAATTAAGTGAAAAATTTTAAGAAATTTGGGTGTAATTTTCCCTTTTTTCAAACCTGGATTCATATATAGCTAGAATTAAAAAATAAAAAACCAACCTGAAGAACACTCAAGTTAATTAATTGATCTCACCTGCTTGGCAAAGTGGACTGAGTAATGTGATTAAAAATTGAGAGGATAAAGGGGCAGCCTTTAGATCCAAGCTAAACCTGTCTCATGTGTGCATGTTCAGCGCCCGAAGCTTAAGTTAAAACATGTTAACAAACTGACCATTTTTATATTGCCATGTATTTGTATAATTGTAAGATCCATAGGAATAGGATCCTTCATTGCAAACTGCATATGAGTTGATACGTTGGGTTTTAAAAAAAAAAAACAGCCAATTTTAATTCGTTAGTAATTAGTGACTCGAGATCTCAAATTTGAATGTCATAAGAGTTATCTTATTTGATTCCGTGCATATAATTCACGGGTGATTATACTTATTTCGAGTTTATATTTTATAATGTACTTAAAAGTACAAAAAATATGTGATAGGGTGATAATAAAAAAATATTAATTATTTTAAAATAGCAATGTGAATTTGTCTACATTTCAAAGTTAGGTGTAATGTACCTTCCAAATTGTTGAACTCTTTGCAGGTTTTTGACCCTTCTTGAGAATAATTTGTTAGAACTTTCAGGAATGCAATTAAGCTGAAATAACAAAAGGGCACTTATTTTGAAGAGGTCGTACTTCAAACTCCCCCTTACATCTTCACCCCTACCTCTTCACGGAAATTAAAATCATATTTAGACTTAATTATATTTTGACGTTCTAAACTAGGATCCCGGTTTCATTTGCATCTTCTACTATCAATTACATCATATTGTTCCCTCAATTAATTATTGGAAATGATTTTACAATACCCTAAAACAAAATATCTGTTACGTTATGCATGGAAAGTGCATTTGAATTAGGTTTGGTGTAAAATGAAACTAATTAACATAGTTCAGGGCAAGTGAAATGAAGTTATTTTCTTTTCAAAACGGATGTTTGGTTTAGGCAATAAATGGCTACCTGGTAGCCAAATCTAACGGTTACAACTTACAAGGTCCAAGGAATAAATTCATAAATAAATAAACTACCATCAGCCCACCCGTCAATCAAAATCAGCTTATTTGACATATTCCAAGAAAACCACACAAAGCCACTAAGATACTTTTTACGTGATTTTCTTGGTCAGTGCCTTCAGATTTCGGAGTCCGTGGATCTAAAACAAGGCTCTGTCATATGGTACATATAGACTATAGTTGCCAAAACAGGGTTTCAAGGAAAAAAAAAAAGTTTGAGTGGTGTGATTTTGAAAATGGGTTTGATGAGTGAGACCCTCACACAGATTCTGATACCTTTGGCTGCCTTGATTGGAATTGGGTTTGCTTTGTTTCAGTGGTTTTTGGTCTCCAAGGTGAGGGTTTCAAGAGGTTTGGACAATGGCTACAAAGACAGGTTGATTGAAGAAGATGAACAAGAGGAGGGTATTGACACTGATGATGCTGTCGACAAATGTGCAGAAATTCAGAATGCCATTTCTGTTGGTGAGCTCTCTCTCTCTCTCTCTCTGCTTGTTTATGCACTCTTCCAAGTTAACTCAAATATACAAATAGCCACTCTCTGTGATTTTGTTGAGTCCATTAACATTTTTTTAGATAGTGGTTATGATAAATTGCACAAACTTTGAATTATAAGAATTTTGTATGTTTCTCGTTCCTTACTAGTTCTGTTTATTTTGATGGATTTTATTTTGTTTCTATATATTTTGCACGTAGAAGCATTCACTTTTATAGAATTTGTCAATTGTTCCCCACAATATATTCTTATGCTACCTTTGTTTTTTTGCATCCTACGAGAATAATTTTGCACTTTGTTGAATACTTGTCATCTTGATTCAAACATATTACCCACATTTCCTGTTTAGTTTCTCTGTTTCCCTTAATTTTTCTTCATGTTCTCCACTTGTCAAATGACTATTACAATTTTATAGAATAACTCGAATTGAAAATCAATTCCTTTTTGTAGGTGAGAATATTATTCCTGAGTGATCAAAATTTAGTTTGTGATGCATGCATATGCAAAATGTTTATTGACTGCTCTCATAGTGACCAAAGATAAATAACTACATTGAACAATTACAAATGTCGTGAGACTGAGGGCATAACTCAGGGACCAGCATTAATTTTTCACAGTTGACTATACTCTAAAACTCATCTCTAGTTTAGCAAGATAATTTTATTGATCACCACGAAAAAATTTCATGTTTCGCAATTTTTTCCCTGCCGCTTTTACCTATTGCGTGACCTATTTTACTTATACTGATCCACTGACTTCTAGTATGCTATATATGTGTCAACTTCTGAAATGTTCATGGTTCTGTAGTTCTCTTCATTTTGGAAAAAAATTTGGCAGGGGAGATTGCAGAGATGGACTAATAGTGGAATGTAGGTTGATTAGGCTCAGCTATTGTAAAATTCTTCACATGCTGGTGCTAACTAATGGATCTTCAATTTGTGAAATTGATTCTATTGCTTGGTCTTAGTGCTCTTCTATAGTTGTTCCTTTAAATGACGAAGAAAAATAAGCAAAAAAATTAACAAATGCACACATGTGAAATACATAGAGTGTGGTAATCATTATCTGTTAATATTGTTGGGCTTTAATCCTTGAGTGCTTCTTGATGGCTCTGACAGTCTAATTGTCCCACAATTTTCCTCGTTTTTGTAATTCTGTGCATGGATCCCTGTTATGGTCTATCTAAGAACACCTCACATTTTTCCCTTTAGATATATTGTGGTTGTGAGGTTTTGGCTGCAAATTTCATCCTTATACATTCCTTTTTCTTCTCAATGGATTTGTATAATCGCAGAGCAGCTCTATCAGGTAGTCATGGTTTCATCAAGATAATGTAATTGAAACAATTCCATGAACTTTTAGAAATAATTAACATTCGTTTCCATAGGAACTTGCCTTCCTTTGTGATTTCATTGGGTTACTGATTATCACCCACAAAATGACAATTTTCAGGCTATTTGTTGTCTTGTACATCATAACTTTTTGGCAGGACTCTGTTTGCGTGTGTACTTGTTCTGGTAGACGTAAAAAAATATATATGGAAGTGCGAAAATAGCAATTAAGCCATTTTCATTTTGCTGTACTAGCACAGTTTTTCTACTTAAACATTTTCTGGGGGCTCACAGAGGTATATATGCACACTTGTAAATCTCTGCGTCAGTATGCATAAGCTATTTTTACTCGTTTGAATTCACTGCAACTGGTAAAATTTAATTCATTTTGTCCAAAGCTTATGGTTTTACTTTATTTGTTGAAAGCTCATGCGTTCGGACCTTGACTGACTTTGATGCATGATATGTTTCAGGAGCAACATCATTTCTGTTTACAGAGTACAAGTACCTCGGCATATTCACGGCTGTATTTGGTGTCATCATCTTCCTTTTCCTTGGATCAGTTAAGGGCTTTAGCACTAAAAGTGAACCTTGCACTTACAACAAAGGGAATCTCTGTAAACCAGCCTTGGCCAATGCTATCTTTAGCACAATTGCCTTTTGGCTTGGAGCTGTCACTTCTGTTCTCTCGGGGTTCCTTGGAATGAAGATTGCAACCTATGCCAATGCTAGAACAACTCTGGAAGCAAGGAAAAGTGTTGGGAAGGCATTTATAACAGCTTTTCGTTCTGGTGCAGTGATGGGATTCCTACTTGCTGCCAATGGTCTCTTGGTTCTATATGTCTCTATTAATTTGTTTAAACTCTACTATGGAGATGACTGGGAGGGACTTTTTGAATCTATCACTGGTTATGGCCTAGGAGGTTCTTCAATGGCACTCTTTGGAAGAGTTGGGGGAGGTATATACACAAAAGCAGCTGATGTTGGTGCAGACCTAGTTGGGAAAGTGGAACGGAATATTCCTGAAGATGATCCACGTAACCCAGCTGTAATTTCTTACTCATTGTATCTTCTTAGGGCTCATATTCCAAGTTTTGTGTATTCTTAGTTTTGATGCTCTCTCTCTCTCTCTCTCTCTCAGCATGTAATCAACCTTCATTGTCAGACAATGTTCATTGGACTCAACCACTCTGTGTTGTCTTTGCAGGTAATTGCTGACAATGTGGGTGACAATGTAGGTGACATTGCCGGAATGGGATCCGATTTATTCGGGTCTTATGCTGAATCTTCCTGTGCTGCACTCTTTGTTGCATCGATATCATCCTTTGGTACCAGTCACGACTTCTCAGCCATGTCTTATCCTCTGATTATTAGCTCGATGGGAATCATTGTTTGCTTGATAACAACACTTTTTGCAACTGATATGTTTGAGATAAAAAATGTGACCGAGATTGAGCCATCCTTGAAGCGACAACTTCTTATCTCCACCATTCTTATGACTGCCGGGATTGGCATGGTTACCTTCTTTGCTTTACCATCAGAATTCACTCTATTTGACTTTGGCAAAGAGAAGGTTGTAAAACACTGGTATGCTTCTTGAACTACTTATACTCTTTTTGTGTTAGTTTCTGCTTACTATTTTCAAATTTCTTTCTTTGTGGAATTGCATGTTGGTAATTTATGTTACTGCAGGCACCTTTTTTTCTGTGTTTCAATTGGCTTATGGGCTGGCCTTGTCATTGGATATACTACTGAGTATTACACAAGTAATGCTTACAGGTGAGTTACCTTCAAATAAATATAGAGATTGCAAGTTTATATTTAATTCATTCATCCAATGCCCTGCATTGGGAGGATACCCTAGGTAATGGCCTTATTTAAGTGGGTTGGTTGTCCAAATCATCAGTCTACTCGAATTCCTCTAGCGTCTGGGAACAACTATGTAAGTGCGGTGGGACAGTTGCGATTGAGTCTTCCTAACTTCACTTCACTGCAGTTTCAAATCAAAAAAAAAAAAAAACAGAAGAGATTAACAATCCATAATGGCTCAAAGTACAAAGATAAGAATGACATCTTCAAATTATCAATGTTCTATGGTAATGGGATGCTTTAATCAGGAGAAAGTGTAAATTAAGTTTTATTGAATCTCACAAGTCAGCTCACATGCAATACCTGAGATACTTGTTAACGTTTGTGTAATATCTGAGTCCAACCAGCCAAATAAGAGTAATCAGATCAGGGAAAATGTATGATTGACATTGTTTGATCAAAGAAATTAATCAGGGATAATGTATGATTGACATTGTTTGATCAAAGAAATTAACCCCCTCTACCGTGTGTCTGCCTCAATAAATAAAAAATTAAGCAATTTTTGTTTTTCTTATTTGAATGTTTGCATCAACCATTTCTTAATCCTGATGCTCATTGTCATTGCCAAATTTTGCAGTCCTGTGAAGGATGTCGCAGATTCTTGCAGAACTGGTGCTGCAACAAATGTCATTTTTGGGTTGGCTCTGGGATACAAATCTGTTATCATTCCAATATTTGCAATAGCCATTGCTATTTATGTTAGCTTCAGTTTGGCTGCCATGTATGGAATTTCTGTGGCTGCTTTGGGAATGCTTAGCACCATTGCCACTGGACTTGCAATTGATGCTTATGGCCCCATAAGTGATAATGCTGGTGGTATTGCAGAAATGGCTGGAATGAGCCACACTATTCGTGAAAGAACAGATGCTCTGGATGCTGCTGGTAACACCACCGCTGCCATTGGCAAGGTAGGGGTTCTTGGAATCGATACTTGGTTGTCTATTAGGGATAGTTATAGGTGCGAATGATTATCAAGCAAGGTGTCTTGATTTATGCCAATTTCTCAATAAGTTGGATATTTTCTGATGTTTAGACCAGTTTAGAAAATTCGGCCAAGAGTAACTAAAACCGAAGTGAGGAGTGGCTTGGAAACACAAAGATCATGACTTCGTTCTTTTCCTGTTATTTTATACTTGAAAGTTCTTCCATGACTATTAATACTCATTGGAGCTTGGGTCCTAGACCATTTGACATGCTGTGCCTTTGTGTTGGCCAGGGTTTTGCAATTGGATCAGCTGCCCTTGTTTCTCTTGCCCTGTTTGGTGCCTATGTGAGCAGAGCTGGTATTGAGTCTGTTGATGTCTTGACTCCAAAGGTATTCATTGGATTGATTGTAGGGGCCATGCTTCCATACTGGTTCTCAGCCATGACAATGAAGAGTGTTGGAAGCGCAGCTCTAAAAATGGTTGAAGAGGTTCGCCGACAGTTTAATACTATTCCGGGGCTTATGGATGGAACAGCAAAACCAGACTATGAAATGTGTGTCAAGATTTCTACTGATGCTTCACTCAAGGAGATGATCCCACCAGGCGCCTTGGTTATGCTTACGCCACTGATTGCTGGAACATTTTTCGGTGTGGAAACACTTTCTGGTGTGCTTGCTGGTTCACTCGTTTCTGGTGTGCAGGTATGGTGTCTTTGCAGAGTCCTCCTTCCAAATCAAGCCTTAGTGTTTCTGGTGTTTTTTCTTCAGTTTATTTTCTTCTTTCTTTTTATTTAGACACGTTATTTTTGCAATATATTATTTTCAATATATTGGCAATATTTGTGCATTTCCACCACTTTCCTCAACAAACACATGAAAAAAAGTTTTTTTCTCTTTCTGTCACTTTCTGCCATTTTCCTTCTCAACAAACAAAGCCTTGTAGATTCTTATGATTGGCTTTATTCGCATATAATTACCTCTGCTTTGCAATTGAGTTTAGGATTTCGTGTATTTCTTAATGTTTCCCTTCAATGGCTCTCTAATATGTGGTGGTACTGACATTTATCTTCGTTGTAGGTTGCCATCTCGGCTTCTAACACAGGTGGGGCATGGGATAATGCTAAGAAGTACATAGAGGTAAAGTTAGTTGCAAGTCAATTACAGTATTAACACCATTTTTATCTGTATTCTCAAGCAAATAATGGTTTATTGGAAACAAGTTAAAAACCATGGTAAAATGGGAATGGAGTTAAAAAATGACTAGCATGGTAAAAAATTCCTACTATTTCTGTCCACCATAATATCATTTCATGTTAAAGTTGGTCACCACATTGTTTTATATTCAGGGACAAAACGACGGTACCAAAATTTAAGTTTGTTGTATCATGTCAAAAAATAAATCTAAGTTATAGATGGTGGTTTGAATTATTTATAATTCTTGGTTGTGAAAATAATAGGATAAAAGTGGAAGAATAAAACAATGAACCTTTCTATGTGTGACGGACGTTGTGATTGGGAAAAAAAAGGTGGGGTGTCGAAAAACTATTGTTCAGTATTGTAGTCTTCGCATATTTCAGATCTAGATTTCAAATAACATACCGTGATGTGGTTCCTGCAGGCTGGTGCTTCTGAACATGCTCGATCACTAGGTCCCAAGGGATCAGATGCTCACAAGGCTGCTGTCATTGGTGACACAGTTGGAGATCCCCTCAAGGACACGTCCGGTCCCTCACTAAATATCCTGATCAAGCTCATGGCAGTCGAATCATTGGTCTTTGCTCCATTCTTTGCAGCTCATGGGGGCTTGCTGTTCAAATGGCTCTGAAAAGTGGTCTATCATGCAATCAGGTTTCTTCCCAAAAAATACAATAACCTTTAAAGAAGTACTATTGATCAAGCTTTCACTGTATACTGTAATGTGAATTCGATGTCAATTTTTGTTGTTTTGAAGGGAACAAGATAAGGCCTTGTTTTGAAGGATTCTTCATTTTCAGTATTTAAGGTTTTTTTTTTCATGTATATATTATTTAAAATATTTGCATTGAATTTCACCGGTTCCTGAAAATTTTAGTGAGATCTATCACATTGTATGTTTAGCGGATTGGATATGGAGTCAGTGAGATCTATCACGTTGTATGTTTAGCGGATTGGATATGGAGTCTTTGCCTTTAGAGATGAACAGAGGCGTGAGCGCGCGTGTGCACACAGAGGGGATTAAACAGAGGAAAAAAAGAAGACGAGGAATGGTCTCTCCCTTAGTTTAATTTTATTCACATGTGTTCGAATATTGCGTATTTGATCACAATAGGAAGCGTGGATCATTCAATTCATTGAAGGAAATTGTTTGTCGTTCATAGTTTACCTATTGATGTGATAATACTTTTAACCTTAGTTAAACCTTAGTCCTTGGCTAAGATTGCATATGTTTGGTTTGACAACCAACTTGTTTGGCAAAAAACTCAAGAAATACATATTTCTCAATCTAGTAGAGATCAGTGGGTGTAATTTACAAACTCATTGATACCTCCTGCCCAATCTATATATTGGGATATCACGACAACTGGACTCTCTATAAATGTTTTAATTAAATAAGTTGGAAGTCAAGCTAGAGGATATTGGGAAGGTGAAGGTCTTCACCATTGTAAATCCTCTGTTTCAAGCCTTAGTCCGACCTTTACATGATTGGGTGATGAATGGGCTTCGACTAATTAAACATATAACTAAACTGCACCTTTGCTCAAACACAGTTGCTTGATAAGAATGATTGCGGTCAAGATTCGATAGCATGATGCAGGTGCAAAAAAAAGGCCTCAGAATTTGTGCACGTGATGCAATCAAAACAACGGTCATCCCTTCCCTCCATTCAACCGCACATACGTTTGAACAAATATAAGCGTGGGAATAAGATGCGGTATGCAGCAAATTGTCTTGAACTCCCATAATGCAATCTTAAGTCCATTTTCTAGTATTTCAATGACAAGAAAATTCTGAGAGACAAACTTTTTTCTACTTGAAATTCACTTGAATTAGAAGTTTCTTTTCACAAAAACAATGAAAAGAAAATAAATTACTTGATAGCAATGCTTTGTTTGGTATGATTGAAAATTAGAAGAATAAATAAAATATCATATTTAGTAAGGAATAAAAAGAGTAAGACTGAAAAAGTTGATGAATTCATCGGAATCCATCCCTCTAAAATTAGAAGAAAAAGAGGATATAAAGTTAATTATGTGTATTAAAATGAATATTATTTACCTTTATATCCTTCAATATATGAATACTAGTTATAACTTGTGTCTGAAGACATAGAGTAATAAAAAAAATTATCAATAATAAATATATTTGTATTCACATCTAAAATCAAATCACAAATATAGAAAAGAGAAAAGAAATTTAAGTACCGGTTATAGTGGGAGTGAGCGATGGTAGTGGTGATGGGTGGTAATGGCAGTGGTGGGGTGGCGATGATGGTGATGGTGGTGATGGTAGTGGTGGTGGGTCGTGAGGGTGCTGGTGAGGCGATAGGGTAGTGGTGGTAGGAGTGGTGGTGAAGCGATAAGGGTAATGGCGGTAGGGGTGATGGTTGGACAGTGACAGTGGTTATAGGTGGAGGTGGTGGTGGGGGATAGTGGGGATGGTGGTGGTGGGGCAGTAGGGGGTGGTAGTGGTGGTAAGGTAACGGTAGTAATAATGGCAACAATGGTGATCGTAGTAGGCAGTGGTGGTTGTTGTGGCAAAGGTGGTGGTGGAGTGGGGACGACGGTGGTAGGACAGTAGCGGTGGTAGTGATGAGTGGCGACAGTGGTGCTGGTAAGGGCGGTATGTTGACGACAACAATGGTGGTGCTAAGGGGCAGGGGTGGTGGTAATAGTGATGGTGGTGGTGAGACGTGGGTGAGGTGGGTGGTGGTGAGGTGGTGACATTTGTATATTTAAAAATAGTCAATAATAAATATATTGTATTTACATCTAAAATCAAATCACAAATATCGATGAGAGATAAATGAATTTAAGCACCGGTTATAGTGAGAGTGAGCGATAGTAGTGGTGGTCGATGGTAATCACAGTAATGGGGGTGGCGATGGTGGTGATGATGATGGTGGTGGTAGTGGTGATGGTCGTGAGGTGTGGTGGTGAGGTGATAGGGGTAGTGGTGGTAGGGGTGATGGTTGGACAGTGGCGATGGTGGTAGGGTGGTGGTGGGGTAGAGGTGACAGTGGTGGTGGGGGGTAGTGGGGATGATGGTGGTCAAGTAGTAGGGGTGGTGGTGGCAGTAATAATGGCAACGATGGTGACAGTAAGGGCAATAGTAATTGTCGTGGCAGAGGTGGTGGTGCTGGGGTGGCGACAACGGTGGTAGGACAACGGTTGTGGTGGTGGGGTAGAGGTAATGGTGGTGGTGGTGGGTGGCAACGATGATGATGGTAGGGGGTGATATGGTGACTACAACGATGGTAGTAGTAAGGGGCAAGGGGTGGTGGTAGTGGTGCTTGTGGTGGTGGGTGGGGTGGTGGTGGTGGTGACATTGGTGGTAGTGGAGGGGTGACGACAGTGGAGGTGGTAGTGGTAGTTGTGATGATAGTGGGGGGGTAGTTTGGTGGTGGGGTGGGGTGGCAGACCTAGTAGTAGTGGTGATGGTGGTAGGGCGATGGGTGTGATGGTGATAGTGGTGGTAGTGGAGTGGTTCTAAACACTTTTTTTTTTAAAAGTATTTAGAAGAAATTACATAAATTGGAGTGTTAATATTAGTTGTCAGATTAATTTTAAAGTAAAAAATTATTTTGTTTAACTTTTAAGATTTGAATTGTATTATACTTTATTATGTAGACTAGTTATTTTTCGTGCTTGAAGACACGAAATAATAAAAAAATGATCAATAATAAACATATTTATATTCACACCAAAAATTAAATCATTAAAACAAGAGAGAAAGAAATTTAAGTGCTAGTTGTAGTGGGGTGACTAGTGATAGAGATTGTAAGCGGTAATGGTGGTAGTGAAAAATGGTGATGATTGTAGTAGGTGGCAACAACCGTGGTAATGGTGGCAATTGTGGGTTGCAACGGTGATGTTGTGGTGGCTTTTTGGTGACGACAATCATGGTAATGGTGGCAACTGTGGGTCACAACGATAATGGTGTGGTGGGTTTTGGGTGACGATGGTGGTAATGACAATCATGAGTGAAGGCGGTTGTGGTGGTGGGTATGGGTGATAATGGTCGACAGTGATAGTGGTAGACAATAGTGGTGGCGGGGGGACGACGGTGGTGGTGGTGGTGGCGGTAGTGAGCGATGACGATGGTAGTTGTGAATGATGATGAGTGTTTCTAAGCGACAGTGTGATGGGTGGTGGCGAAGGGCGGTGGTGGTGGCGGTAGATATGGTGGGGGTGGGTGATAGTGGTGAACGATAACGGATGGTGGTAGGTGTGGTGGAGGAGGATGATAGTGAATGGCGACGATGGTAGGCGACGACGGATAATGGTTGTTGTGGTAGTGGGTGGTGGTAGTGGGTGGCAGTAGACAACAATGGTGGTGGTGGGTGTTGATAGTGGGCAACAGTGGTAATGGTAATAAATATACGAATGAGATGACGATGGTGGTGGGTGGTGATGATGGACGACAGTGGTAACAATCGGTGGTGGGTGGCGATGGTGGTGGTGGTGGTGGGGGTAGGGTGGGGGTGGTGGAGGTGGAGGGGGGCCAGTGGTGGCAGTAGAGTAGTGGCGGCGACAATGGTAATGGGGCGACGACAGCGATGGTGGTGGTGGGTGTCGGTGGTGGTGGTTATGGCAGAGATTGTGGTTGGGTGGGGTGGCGGTAGCGATTATGGTAGTTGTGGTAGTGGTGGTGGGGGTAAGGTAATAGTGGTGGGGCGTGGTGTGGTAGTAATGATGATGGTGGTGGTGGGGGCAGTAACAGTGGTGGTGGAGTGGTGACGACGGTAACGATAGTGGTTGTGGTGGGGTGGCGACAGTGGCGATGCTGCTAGGGCAATGATGGTTGTGGGGGTGGGGTGGTAGCGGCGGTGGTGGTTGTGATAGTGGTGGTGGCAGTTGTTGCAGTAGAGGTGGTGGATGATGATGGTTGCAATCAGTGGTGGGTGGTGGTAGTGGCAGTGGCAGTGGAGTAGTAACGATAGAATGTTGCGGTGGCAGCCATAGTAATGGGGCGGTGGTGGTTGTGATAGAGGTGGTAGTAGGGTGGGTTGGCGACGTCGATGGTGGGGGGGCAGTGGCAGTGGTGATGGAGTGACGGCGTTAGAATGGTTGTGGCGGCAGTGGTAGTGGTGGGGCGGTGGTGGTTGAGGCAGAGGTGGTGATGGGGTGGGCTGGCAACGGCGATGGTGGTTGTGGTAGTGGTGGAGGTGAGGAGCAGTCAGGGTAGGGGTGGGGGTGGTGGTGAGTATATGGGCGTTGTGGTGGGGGTAGTGTGGTAGTAGTGATGATGGTGGTGGGGCAGTGGTGGTGGTATGGTAGTAGTTATGGTGGTGGTGGTGAGACGGTGGGGTGGCGACAATGGTAGGGGTGGTGGTGGTGAGACGGTGGGGTGGCGACAATGGTAGGGGTGGTGGTGGGGGTGGCGATGGTGGTGGTGGTGGGATGGTGGTGGTGGTGGGACGGTGGGGTCATGGTGGTAGTGGTAGTGGGGTAATTTCAAACACTATTTGTTTTTAAGTATTTATTAGAAGTTATAAGTTTTACAAGCACTTTTAAAATGTCACCTTAAACACACTTTTAAAAATTTATTTTTCCTATTAAAATTTGAGGTGTTAATATTAGCCATTAAATTAATTTCAAAGTAAAATCTAAAAAGATCTCAACCACGAAAAGCAAAAATTATTTTGTTTATCTTTTAAAATTTGAATTTTATTGTACTTTATTATATAGATATCCTATTTATCTATTACAAATTATGTACACATTAATTTCATATATAAATACAATAATAAAATATGCATCTATATTTTTTCCATCCTATCAAACACAAAATAAAAAAAAAAACAAAATCAATCATTCTTACTTTTCATCCTTCATACGAAACACAAAAGAGTGAAAAAAGGATTCATCTCTTGAGA